GCTCCCCCACCAGGGAGGCAAGCGCCGCGCAGTGGCCGAACAGGCCGTGCATCAGCGGCGTCAAGTCCGGCCCCGCGCCCGCCCTGGGCACTGGCGTTCCGAGCAGCTCGGCGTTCTGCACGGTCGCGAGCTTCAGCAGGGAGCTCATGATCTGGAACAGCTGCGGCGGCGAGCCGTGCGCGACCGCGCGCAGGCAGTAGGCGGCGCCGAGCTGCACCGCGGGGTTGGGGTGGTGGCCCACGAGGTGCAGCAGCGGCCTCGCAATCTTGGCCTCGGCCCCGCGAAAGGCCTCGCCCGCCGCGGCACAGCCGCTAGACAGGGCCTCGAGGACCACGGCCATGCGGGCGCCGGTGCTCCGGGAGCTCTCGACCTGAGAGGAGGCCAGGGGAATCAGTCCCGTCTCGATCACCTGGAGGAGCAAAAGCTTGCATAGACACGATATTCGCCGGCCCAACGAGCCAGAGGCGTGCTCTAATCTCCGGTAACAAGTTAACAATGTAGCAAGTTCGCGCGCGCTAGGCGGCCCCTGGAGGCCCCGACGCCACAAGTACCCCGCCGAGGTCCCGGCAAGTGCCCGTCAGAGATGCCGGAGGCCCCCCGGACGGCCCAAGAGACGCCCAAGACGGCCTCAAGAGAGCGCCCAGACGGTCCAAGAGCCCTTGGAGTTCTCGAAAGATCGGCCGACGATGCCACAAGATCGCTCCAAGAAGCCCACCATGGCCTCCAGACGCCACTCCAAAAGCACTCCCAAGAGGGCCCCAGATTCATTGATTTTCCTAGGGTTTGGGACACATTAGGGAGGTTATCCTTTTTCGGCTTCCCGGCGCTCCAAAATGGCCCAAGAGGCTCCCGAGATCGCCCCAAGAGGGTCCAAGAGGACTCCAAGACAGTCCAAGAGAGCCCCGAAACGGCCCCAAAAGGGGTCCAAGAAGGTGACCAGGAACCGAAAAGTCCAGCCTTCAGCCCCGAGAGGCTCCCAGGAGGCCCCAAGAGGCCCCCAAGAGGCCCCAAGGGGCTCCCAAGAGGCACCCAAAGAAGCCCCAAGAGGCCCCCAAGAGGCCCCCAAGAGGCCCCAGCACGGCCCCCAAGAGGCCTCAAAACTGCCTCCCAAAGGCCCCTGAGAGGCCAACAACGAGAGACCAACCAACATCCGTGAGGCCTCTGACACGCCACCCACCACCTCCGAAAAATGGCAACCGCCCAACCGCGCCGCAGTGACAACAACACCCCGACAAACGACAGCGGCGAGGCAATGTGAGCCCGCGGAATGAGCGAAGCGATTCAATACACTTTCAAAGAGGTGCGCGCGGGCTCCTCAGACGGAGCTGGGCCCCCTGCGGAGCACGAGACGCGCCATGGGCGGCGCCAGAGGCGCAGCCAGGGGTGCCCAGCGCAGATCCGGGAAGCCCGCACGGACCGCCGAAAGTTTTGAGTTTACGCATTTGCTTCTTCTTCGGGTCTCTCGACCACCTCCAGCAGCACGGTCTCTCCAGCGGAGGCCGACAGCTGCAGCAGCTGCCGAAGGGCGCCCGAGACGTAGTGCCCCACCTGCGCCATGCTCTCCTCGTCGGCGCCCGAGGCCGAGCCGGCGCTCCGGCTGGCCTTCGCCAGCTGGGGGCCGTCCAGGATGCCCACCAGCAGACGCATGACCAAGGTGATGCTGGGCGCGTCGAACACCTGCAGAACCTCCACGAGCCGCACGGCCGCGAGGCAGATAGAAGCGCGGAAGGCGACAAACATTGAGCCAGCCGGAGGCCCTTTCGAGGCGGCCTTCTCCAGGAAGGCAGCCGCTGAGGCCAAGTCCGTCACCTCCAGCTTCTTCTTCGGCCGGTCCTCCACAGACGCTCCCGGAGTAGCCATGGCCGCCAGGACGTGGGCAAGGGCCCGGGAGAAAGCGAACCTAGAGGAAGAAACAAATGCATACGTGAATCGTGCAAAACTTCTCGAAGGTCCGCGCGGAGTTCGTGGATCGGCGTGGACCCCCTCTCAATGGCACGCAGAGCGCGCCAGGGGCGGCGCCGGATGTGCTGCCAGGGGGCCCCAAGCAGATCCAGGAAATCCGCGCGAATCGTCGACAAGGTACGTGTATGCTGAATATTTGCCCAACCTTCGAGAGCCAGAACTCAGAGCTCAGGCTGGACTGGCCTCGCGGGCGAAAAACAGATCCGTATTCGCGGCCTCGCGGGCCGGACCCCGGGGCCGCAGCCCCACGGATACGGGGCGCTGATTGGGATGCCCCGCGCGGAACGTCTCCGTGCTACCGTGCAATTGCCCGCATCGGGACCCCGAACCCCAAGCCGCGAGGGCGTGGACACGGGTACGTTCGCCGCTCGTGGTGGCCTGCGGGGACGTCTGTGGCCAGCTGCTTCAGGCAGCCCACGGCCATCGCGTCACCGCCCTGGCCCACGCAGGAGGGCGAGGCGGACGCCAGGTCGGCCAGCGCGTGGCCTGCGCATGTGCGGACGGTGATGGCCTTGTCCAGCAGCATCTTCTGCAACATCTTCCAAATGTCAAAGGAACAGAAAACGGCAACACAGAATAATCAGCTTCGAACTCACCACTACCCGCAAAATTGACAAGCCCACATGAGGTGACAGTCTTAGGGATGCGTGCCCAGAAACTGAGGGGATCCTTAGGATGGGCGTCGAGACGAGGTGATAGTTACCAATCGTCGGGATGGGGCAATGATCCAAACGAGCACACGCACCCCGAACAAGAACTCAGAGGTCTGCGCGAGTGCATCTGATTGGCGCCAAGACCCCCTCTCCCTGGCGCGCCCCGCACGCCAGGGGCGGCGCCCAAGGCATCGCCAGAGGGGGGGAGGGGGGGGGGACGCAGATTCAAGAAGCCCGCGTGGACCTCCGAATGCTCACACAAAAAAAGGTATTTGGACAAGGAACCCTGGAAGCCCGTGGAACACCAATTGCGGCTCGGGCACGGATGCCACCGCCACGCTCATCAGACAAGGGATTCTCCAGGGTCTGAAGCATCTTTGCCACGTTCCTCGATGAACGCCTCCACCGTTGTCGGAAGAGGCCGGGTGGCCTGAACTGAATGGGGGCTCAGAAAACCGATCAAGAGGGGGGTGGGGGGGGGGGAGATGCGCTCAAATCGCTCCCTGGACCCCATCCCAGGGTCCATCTGGTGAAGCGCTTCACCCCAAATGAGTGTTTGATGGTCCAGAGGCCCGAAACGGCCCCTGGAGGCAGAAATATACAAAAAACCTTCCCAATCCCAAAACCTAACCCCGAACCTCGCCCCGCTTTCTTGCTCGCCGGAACCAATGCTGGGCCACCCCAGACCCCCCGCCAGCTCCAATCCCACCGTGCGTCTGTGCCGTGTTCTGTTCCTCGGGATGCTGCCGCCGCCGCCCGGGCCCCTCACGCCGGCCACGCGCATCACCTTCCGAAGGCACTGGAGCGCCGAGCAGCGGGCGCTCGCCTCGCTCAGCTTCATGTGCTTCTCGACCACCGCGAACACGTCCGTGCCGAAGTGTGCCAGGCTGCGCCCGTGGTGGAGGATGAGCTCGCCCATGGCGTCCAGGGCTGCGACCTTCGTGTCGGTTGCCACCTTCTTGCTCTTGTTCGCGGGCACCCTCGGGGACGCCCTCGGCGTGCGAGACGGTTGCTCAGGCCCCCGCATACGCCCCCAAGAAAGTCCCGAGAGGCCCCCCCCAAGAGGCCCCCCCAGGCCCCCAAGATGCCCCCAAACGACCCGAAGTACCACTAGACAGCACCGGCTTGTGGGCGCCCAGATGGACGCACGGCGCCGACACGTCTCTAGGACGACGGCCCCCAGAACAGAGGCATCCAGGGCTCCCAACGGGCCGGCGGTGCGGCGCAGGAAGCCGCCGAATCGTCGCTGGTCAGCTTCAGCAGCTTCCCGAAGAAGGTGGGGAGGCTGGCGCTGTTGCCGAACCTGTACAGGCACCGCAGCACGGAGACGACCAGGCCACGGAGCCGCTCCGTGGCGATCTGCGCCAGCAGGCGCTCGCAGAGGTCCTCCAGCTGGGCCTGCTGCTTCACGATCGCCTCGCGCGGCATCGAGGGGATGACCTCCTCCAGAGCGGCCAGGGCCTCCATCTTCTTCGCGTTCGTGACGACCCCCTTGTCGCAGTCCGCCACCGCCGCCTCCAGAAGCTGCATCCTGCCGCAGAAGGGCTGCGCCTCGGGCGCCGGCACGGCCTCCATGCCCCCGTCGGCGGAGCCGCGGGGCCCCCTCGCAGGGACGCCGCTGCCCGCGGCCGCACTGCCAGGAGGCGGGGGCCGGCGACACCCTCGGAGGCGCGGCCGCAGAGCCCAAGGCTCTGGACGCTCACAGGCGCCTGCAAGCTTCAAAGGCCGTGGGCGTGCGCGCTCCCGTCGGGCCGCCCCTACCTAGGGAAGTCGCAGTTCGGCGCCTCGAGCAGGCAAGCACGGAAGAATCCCGTTACCTGCGGACCGGACTCCTGGAAAGCGGGCTAGGGTTCAGAATGCACTGGATGTCTGCAGCCAAGTCGACACTCCAGCGTCGATTGGACCTGCAGGCGCGGTGCTGCGAGGGAGTCGCGCTGTGGTGTTGCAAGCCGCGAGCGAAGTGTGAATCAGATGCGGACCATCTGCGGACCAGATGTGAACGAGCTGCGCTGCATCATGAACAGCCTGCGGGTGCCTTCTAAATCATGTGCCACTGCGTCGGGACATAATGCTGTCGCGGAGGACTTGCCGTCGTGTCGCGGTTGTGCGTGAACCTGCGGTGCATGCGCAATCGAAACACATCGGGCCTAAATATATTGTGAATACGTGCGCGAAACGCAACATCAAGATGGCTAGTTTACAAACGAATTAAGAACCGATCAAAGGATTTACGTTTGGAGGCGTGCAAATCAAGTGTTAGAACGGCTCGGCCCAGACACTCTTTATCGCTTTAAGGACAGACCACTTGGCATACAGTATGCATTGTCTGGCATGCATGTGTGTATGATCGTCTTCATGCGCAGGCACACGCAATTGCACAACCAATATGTCAAATATGTCACCGAGCCTTCGGCACGTTAAGGCGTCTTAGAATTTGTGCTGGTTGTCTGGGAGGGGCTTTGTCAATTTCCACTGCTGATCCCCCCGTAGCGACCATTGGTGCGAAAATCGCCAGCCTGGCAAGCATGAGCTCCTGCCAAGACATCGATCAATCTCCAAACTTCCAGAAACATCTTGAAGCCATTACTCAATCAGTGTTGCATCTCAGACAGAAATCCGCCAGCCCTTCGGTGTGTAAAAGGCGCTGTCGTCGTCGCCCTTGTCATCGTCATCGTCATCGTCGTCGTCGTCAGTCCCAGGGAAACCGAGGAACAATGAAAAAGACACGTCGCAATCGAGTCGAAGAGAAGCCCCTTCCCTCTGTGCCTTCACTGAGAGGGGTGGGGGGGTGGGAGGGGGAGAGGTGGGGCGTGGATAGGGGAACAAAAAGTGACATAAACATAAAAACTCGAAGGTCCGCGCGGATTTCTCGGATCGGCGCTGGACCTCCCTCCCTGGCGACGGCCCAAGAGGCCTCCAAGAGGCCCAACATAGTCTCCAAGACGGCCCTGGAGCACCCCAAGAAGGCTTCAAGTCGGCCCAGAGAGGCCCCCAGGACGGCGTCCGACGGCGTCGGATAGGCCAGGAATGCCTTGAGACGGCCAAAGGGGCCCCCGAGAAGCCCCAAAAGGCCCCCAAGAGGCCCAAGGAGGCCCCCAAGATGCCTCCAAGAGGCTCCCAGGAAGCCCCCAGGAGCCCCCATGAGTGCCCCCAGAGGCTCACAATATTTCCCCTCCTTCTCCTCCTCCCCCTCCTCTTCCTCCTCCTCCTCCTCCTCCTCCACCTCTTCCTCCTCCATTCCTTCTCTTCTATAACTTCTCCCTGTCGCACCACGAAGCCAGATTTGAGGGCGGGTCGGGCGTTTCGCCTGAGATTCCCTCACCATTTCTGACTCTGACGCCTAGAAATTAGCAACAGTTTCACAGAGGGGTGGCGGCTCGTTTTCAACATGTGACTCTCGCCTTAGAACCGCGCGCAATCGTCATACGAATGTGCAAAAAAACTTCACGGATTGAGGGCGAGTCGTTTTCAAAACGTGGCTCTCGCCTTAGCGCCCCGCACACTCGTTCTGATGATTTGCTAGGGTTTGACGGTTTGAGGTCGGCTCCTTTTCCAAAATGTGGCTCTCGCCGTAGCGCCGCGCACAATCGTTTATAAACTGCGCAAAAATATCACGGAATCCCATGCTCAACGTACCATAAGTGGTGTTTTGGAAGGATGCAGGATTATGCGGGAGAAATAATTACGGTGATTCGCGGTGTTGAAGCCCCAGAAATGGCGTTTTGGCACGGTTCAGGATCGTCAGCCCGCAACAATGAAGATGGTCCGTGGCGTTGGAATCACGGGTATAATCCGCCGACCCCAGAGGCGTGTGAGGGAGAGTGTGTGCTAGAGCCATTCATCGTGAGGTTCTCCTTTCAAGCAGCCACCGACCGATACCCCCCTCCTGGCTCTCTCCCTTGGAACCTTTGTTCTTGGGCCCCCCCTTCCCCCACCACACCACTTCTCGCCCAAAACCGACCGATACCCCCAACCACACTCCCCACCACGCCCCCGACCCCCGAACCCACGATGTCTCGCCCAAACACGACCCACGCCCCCCCCCCTCCCCCCACCCGGCCCCCACCTGGCCCCGACACCCTCAAGCCTCTGGGCTCTGTTCTTGGAACCCCCGACCCCACGATTTCTCGCCCAAAAACGACCAACGTCCCCCCCCCCCTCCACCTGGCCCCGACACCCCCAAGGCTCTGGGCTCTGTTCTTGGGACTCCCCCACCCCACGATTTCTCGCCCAAAAACGACCAACGCCCCCCACCTGGCCCCCACCTGGCCCCGACACCCCCAAGCCTCTGGGCTCTGTTCTTGGGGTCCCCGACCCCACGATTTCTCGCCCAACAACGACCAAGGCCCCGCACCTGGCCCAACCTGGCCCCGACACTCCCAAGCCTCTGGGCTCTGTTCTTCGGAACCCCGACCCCACGAGTTCTCGCTCAAAAACGACCAACGCCACCCCCCCCAACCTCACCTGGCCCCCACCTGGCCCCGACACTCCCAGGCCTCTGAGCTCTGTTCTTGGGACCCTTGACGCCACGATTTCTCGCCCAATAACGACCAACGCCCCCCACCTGGCCCCCACCTGGCCCCGACACCCCCAAGCCTCTGGGCTCTGTTCTTGGGACCCCTGACCCCACGATTTCTCGCCCAAAAACGACCAACGCCCCCCTCCCCCCAGGCCTCTGGGCTCTGTTCTTGGGACCCCCAACCCCACGACTTCTCGCTCAAAAACGACCAACGCCCCTCACCTGCCCCCCACCTGGCCCACACCTGGCCACCACCCCCCCACGACATCCCCAGGCCTCTGGGCTGTGTTCTTGGGACCCCCGGGCCCTACGATTTGTCGCCCAAAAACGACCCATACCCCCCACCTGGCCCCCACCTGGCCACCA